TATATATATATATATATCTTGATCAGTCCCACGTTACTAAGACCTATTAATATTTAAATATATTGTCCAGAAAGATATAAGAGCCCTCGTTCCAAGGTCAAATGTGTTCTTCTCCATCTATCCACCAGCATGTAATGTTTTCATCTTCGGGGCTCCGGCCCTTACTTTAAACAAAATTGTATTATTTCTACACGCTCCTGTATCTTTTTCGATAAGCACCGGCCACACTACGTATATATATGTATGTCACAGAATTCTTCCATTCTAAAATGCCTGGGAGGATACAATCTCATTTCAGCTATTTAATCAGAGTATTCCTCTCATTGTTTCCCGAAATTTTTAATAGTTATCCAATCTTGAATTGTGATGGCTCAGGGGACAGAGCGTTCGCCTTCCAATAAGGTGATCCGGATTCGAATCTCAGCGATGGCTGGTTAATTCGAATTCCGCACCAGCTCTCAGCGACCACAGTCCTGACGTAAAATATCCTCTGTGGTAGATGGATCATGAGTAATAGTCCCCTTGCCGCCAGGCTCACTGTCGGAGGATTTCGTAGTTTTCCTCTCCATGTAACTCAATTGCGTGTTAGTTCCATTAAAAAGTCCTTCACGAAGACAAATTTCTTCCAATATTTGAGCAAGGAGTTACCTTGCATTTTGGATTGGATTAAAAATTGCAAGGCTACGGAGTTGAACTTTATTAGTCGTAAACCCAAAAAACTGGGTCAGCTGTTCAACGACGGCTATAAAATAAAATAAAATTATCTAATCTTGACGCCACGTTCAATGGAAAAAGCTGGTGGAAGTTTCATACTTTTAATATTTCAATAAATTTGGGAAGCCAGAATGTAAAACCTTAAACTGTAAGAATTTTATCGTCAATTAAATTTTAGAACTTTTTCGACGAAAACAAACTCATGAACGCAAAACTGGAATGTCGAAAATAATAAATGAATAAGTTATAAATAAGTTTTTCATTTTTATTTCACTTAAAAATCAGGGTTTTTAAAACCTTTTTCATAATAAGCATAAAAAAGCAAAAATTGAAGTCACCAGCTCATGCTGCATACAACGATATGAAAAGTTTAAATTTAAAAGCCCGATTTGAAAAATTCTTCAAAAATTTGACGTTTATATTGGCTGTTTCAAATGGATATTTTGATTGAAACCTGGGCAGTTTTGCTTGCGAATTGCGTGTTATTTTTAGTTAACAGTTACCAATGTTACAAGTTAATTATGAGCTTCGAATAAATAATTAATTTACTTAAAAACTTAATACTTAATGGTCGTGAAACTCGTCTTTCGAAAATAATTCTTAGTCCAAATAGTTTCAATGTTCGTAAAGATTTTGATTGATTAAAATGAATTCTCCCCTTTTGAAAAATCCAATACCTAATAATAACACCCTTTCGCTTTTTAATTTTCATGTGGTCAGTATCATTGCTATTAAAA